ATAAAACTTAGGAGAACATTGCACTGTAAAATTTGTATACTAGAAAGTATAATGTATTTTGCTGTGTAAATTATCTAAATATTCTCTGAATCAACAGTTAACTGACTTAAAACAAGGGAGAACAGTAGACAACAGAAAATTCCATTTAAGGATTTATGTGATGTAAGTAATTTAGCTCAGAAATTACAGATTCTGTGTTCATTTTCTCGGATTAGAAAAGGAAGAGGGAGTGAATTAACTATAAGTTTAAAACTTTTACTACAATGAGAAGAGAGTGATTAATGATAAAATCCCCTAAAAGAAAATTCTAAGTATTACATATTCAGTCTGAAGTTCAAGATTAAATATACTCTTGTTTGTACATCATTGCAAAAGCTGGACCACTAATTCAACTAGATATGGTAGAAATGAATTGCCTTCATGTCTGATTTTCATGCTTTAAACTGGTTTTAAGTACCAAAATTGTTTGATTTGGTTTTTTGTTTGTTTTGGTTTTGGGTTTGGTTTTTTTGTGTGTGTGGGGGGGGGTTTTTTGATTGTTTGTTTGGTTGGTTTTGTTTTTTTCCCCAGTCTGTATTTCAGTTAAGGAACAGAAATTCAGACAATGTTGATAAATGGATAACGCATTTAACTAACTTTTTGCCATGTGTCTTCTATACAATATTCATAATGTTATGGCACCACAGTCATTACCAGATCAATAGTTTTAATATGAAAATTAGACTAGTAGAATATTTAATTTATTTTAGATTTTTGAAATGTCACTTTAGTTTGGAACTACAAGTAGGCAAACCTCCCTGAAAGGAAAAGGAGAAAGGCTTGATTTTAGATGATCCTGACAATTAAATTCTGATCCATGTTTGCCCAGTTGAAGGGTAGAAGCAGCTAATGAGGGACTGTAAAATAACATAATTCCTTTTCTCTCTAGCACCCTACCATCAACAATACAAAACCACCATAGAGCTAAGAGAGGAGTTGAGCTCTTTTCTTCACTTTTTCTACTGTGAGGAAAGGGTATAAGTGTGTGAGTAGTCTGAAACTACCCTCTCCTTGCAACACTTATCTGAGGATAAAGAGACCTTACATTTGAGGCTCCTATGTATGCAAACAAGATTAAAAAATATGGAATCATTTCTCATCTGTTGTTACTTAAGCATGTTATCACTTCCATTGCCTTAATAGACACTTAGTTCATGTTCATAATAATCTTAAATAAGTAAATGTCTGACAATAGATATCAAAGTTTTAGAACCACATATGCACATATATTATTACAAGCTCTACCACAGGTAGTTCTAAAAGTAAGAACGTTTGAATTGTTGTTTCTTGCTTCAGATTTTCTTAAATGTCTACATGTTGCAAAGGGAATATCACAGCCAACATTTAGATAATGAGTTACTTCGATCACCTCAGAAGTGAATGGGTAGCAGGATGTGTTACCTGGTAAAGTATCGATAGGTACAGGCACAGGCAATTGACATACATGATATAGGCAAGAATGATGAAGGGGACATCCTTCACCTCCCACAAGGTTACATACCTGTAGTTTCTAATGTCCAGTGATTTCTGCAAAATACCCCATGCAGTCTTGGTGGAACACAACAAGTAAGCAAGCACATTTTTAAGAAAAAAATCTCAAATACACAACACAAATTTTGTGGTGAATGGATGGAATTTGTCATCAAACTTGAATAGCAATATATTTTAGTACTGTTATCAATCTTTACCACTGCTGTAACTGAAAATTATACATCTGCCTGCTGTTTTCCAAAAAGTAATTGCAAAAGTGTGATACAACTTTCATTGGTATTCAAATAATTTTTCTCAATTTGCATGGCTCGAGACCTCAGTGATTAGAGACAGGTTCAGGAGCTTTCTAAAGCTGTGACTTGTACAGCTCTGGATCTCTATGACAGTTATGATTCTGTCTCAAAGAGCCCCAAGCTTAGGAAAAATGAAGTGCATATTTTTGCACATTTCAGGTATCCCCAGGGATCTTTATGAATGGAAAAGGGTTAAGCAACAGCAGAAATACCTGTCAGAAACAATTATTGCAAGAAAAAAAAAAACCTTCATCAACAAATAAGAAAGTTGTTGAAGTAATAATTAGATCTGAAGATGAAGTTACAGTAAGTACACAGCTGGGTTTCAAATGTCTCCTTTTAGCCATATTTAATTTTGATTCCTTTAGCATTTGTCAGCCCAATGTCCTCCACTCAAAAACAGTCAGAGGTATATGTGATGTGTGCAGACAGGATGGAGACAACAGACTTCTGGCTTGAGGTGAGCAACTATCTTGCATTTCTGAGATTGGCAGAAAAATAGATCTTTTTCCATATAGGTTTAAATTATGCAAATACTTGCATAGTTTAGAAAAGGTTTCATGGAGAGAAAGGGTTGTGTCAAGGTAAATTCAGTAGAATACATAATGCAAATAGTATTGCTAAGTAAGGGTTAGGAGGGGAGAGCTGTGATTACTTGTCCTTATCCAGCTTAGATACAAAAATCAAAGAATCACCATCTTTACATCTTTATTCCGTAGATATCCTTTATGTCTGTGTTGCATCTGCTCTGTTGGTCTCAAATGGCGTGTGTAAAAATTGAGGGCTGTGTAGTCCTTTTGGAGATCCAGATACAATCCGTTTCCTGACCGTATGTCATGAATAGACTGGAGCACAAACCATCATTTCCAGCTCAGTTGGTACAGATCCCAACAGAAAGCATTGCTACACCTGTGACTTTCTATAGTTTTCTTTGTCAGTATAAATACATTGTACTGCAATAATGGATGCACCCTTGGCATTGTAAGGCCTGAGTCGTGACTTGACATGTAACCACTGAATCATCCAGTACACTTAGCTACCTCTATTTTTTGTTCGTAATACACTTTTTCTTCATTCCTTCTAGATCAGGATGTGTTCCAAGATGTCTTAATGATGCAATTCATAGAAATATTTTGTCTTCCATAGTGGCTCACAGGACTGAATATCTGTTTCTAACCTGTTTCACTGGAGTTTTTCCACTTCCTTTGGTGATCACATAGCCTTCTTCCGCTCAGTCCCACCCCCACTTCTTCATATTAACCTATCTTCCAGTTACAATTTTAATTAGATGCTCTTAAGGCTGTATTAGTCTTGCGTGGCACAATTCCAAATACCACAGAAATAATTTTTAGTTGTCTTAAAATTTGTCATGACCAGCAATTTGAACCTCAAAGACAAGAGACCGACCTATTTATTGTCTTGTAACATCACTTATGTCCTGTGAAATACAGATAAAATGCCAATGACATTATAATATATAAAATATTTATAATATTATTATAAATAAGCATACTTTATATGACTATAAGAAAGAATAAAGGTCATATAGCCACTATGAAAAAGAACAATAAAAAATAATGTAAATACAATATTGTGGTTTAGCAAACTTCTACTCTCCAGACACTCTGTACCAGCTGCACACCAAGAAGCTTACAGGTGTTCACTCTAATGATGGTAACGTAAGAACACATGTTTTCGTCAGGCCTCTATGTTTTTAGAATATTAACCTCTAGCGTGATGCCTTTGAGTAGGTCACACTCGATACACTCACATACATTTTCAGTGCTGGATTCACTTAGCAGAAATGGCGTCAGAAATCAGAATATGGTGTCTATTTCAGCCAATGTGAATGTTTGCCATGGGCAACTCACCTTTTAGCAATTACCAGCTGAAGTGGAAGGTTTTCATAATACAGCTACTAGATGAAACAGAACTGCATTCCGTAAACACACTGGGCAAGTACAATATGGCTAGAACAGGTGTTATTTTTCCTCATCTGTATCTGCTAGCAAGTCTGGTTACCTTTGCAGATTCATTTGATGCGGTCATTCAGGGAAATCAGTGCAGATGGTGTGTCACTCTGTATGCACTTGCCAAAGAATTTTTACAACTTGAAGCCATCACCTCCAGCCAGTATGAAAGCTCAGTGTATATTACAACTAGATTTTAACTCAAAACTATTTGTGAACGTATCCTCGGCACGTGAGGAAAAAGAGTGGATAAAATGTAGCTTTAATTCAGAAGTGAAAAAAATGAAGATGTGGAGTCTAAGCAGTGTCTCCTCAAACTTACATATACGTTAGTATCTTATACATATATGTTTGTATATTTTTCATCACATTCACAGTCAATATATTTTGTTTTTTAACAAATCTAGAACATTACTTTGTACTGAACTTTTTGGCTAATATTCTTAAAAAGCAATTAATATCTTCAGTACTGTTCTAGTACTGAAAATATAAAAAATATTACTTCATATTTACTAACACAATAAGTGTGACATGCTAAAAACACAGTATAACATAGTAAACTTAAGAGAAACAGGGAAAAATACATGAAAAGTGGTACAGGTGAATAGAAGATTTTTTATTTCCATTTCATTTGAAACTTTGATTTGTTATATTTTACACTTTGCAAAATATCAGGCACCATTTTAATGAATGACTGGCAGTACGATCACTTTCCATTTAAATTTTGTAGTGGCTAGGAAAGCATTTGGATTTTTGTTTTGTTCTGTTTTTTTACATTCTGTTACTCCAACTGTTTTCAATATATGCTGGTACAAATACATTGCAAGAGTAATGGGGACAAACCAATTAAAAGTAATGGAAGACTGACAGAACTTGTAAGAAAATGATGGTTATTTTCCCACTGAAACCGTTGTTGAAACATGTTTTGCTGAGGGTTTTTTTAGTTTGTTTTGTTACAGCTCTCTCAAAAATAATCATTTTTCACAAAACTATTTTTTATCTATTTTGAGGCATTTCTACTTTCTCTGCCTTCAGCTAATGCTGAACTATGCTCTTATGATCCATTGTACACTTTGGTTTCTGTTTGAGTATGGTGATGAGACTTTTTTTCTGACTATTCAGCAATATTTTACCTTTGGTGTTAATTAATAAAACCTACTCATAAAGCTAAACTGATATACATAACAGTCAATAAGGAACACTCACCTACTGTCAGTTGTCCAGTTAACTGTCCCATGTGATTTCTTGCATTCACTGTTACATTTCTGTCAGACTGTAAGACCAGTGGACTATCCTGGGAAACATGTATAAGACAATAAATGAGAGAACAAAAAATTGAGGTAGAATTAAGTTAGAACTAACTATAAACATGCATGCTGAGAGGGGAGTTGTGTCAAATATAGTAGCCTTTTTAATAATTTCATAGAGTATTTTACAAGTCAAATTTTTATATAAAAGCATAACAAGAATACTATTTTAAATTTAAAACATTTGTGCACAGAATTCTTGCTTTCGAGATCAGACTTGAACTTAATTTACATAAATTGCGTTTTATGTCCTGAAGATATTAAAAAATTACAAATTCAAAAAAACTTAACACAAACCTGTTTCATTAGCCTTTTCCATGTATTGCTAACATATACTTTTCTAACCACTTACCCAACACGATGCTGTATTATTCTCTTCATCTGTACAACCTGTAGTATTTGGCTTGCACTTATTAAAACCTTACAAACACAGCCATACATTTCTTCGAAGGTAAAAAGCATCATTATTCTCAAAAAAAAAAGAGGGCACTGGAAGGTGAGGTCATATAACAGACAACCCTGACCCACCACCAGTAGTACCTGACAGGTACTATTAGTGATCAAGCTGATGTAGCATGAAGACAAACACTGTATGATGTTAAGTACAGTCTTAACAATTTTTGAGTCAGTTTGCAGCATGACTACGTTGCTATCAGCATCCTACCAGGTTTAAGCTTTTGAGGAATGTTTACATATATGAGTAGGCATACCCTCTGTCCGAAGCCAGCTTAAGTAATCTCAGAAATTAAGACAGAATTGAATTTTGCTTCTTGAAGAATGAGGAGACAGATCCACTCCTCCAGGGGAAGGACAGATGCACGGGAAGGGGGAAGAGCTTCAACAGAAAGCCAAGATAAATCCATCCAGAAAACCCAAAAAGACCTTCCTGATCATGCTCTCTTTAGAGAGGCTTGAGTGCATGAGGGGAGGGAAAATTAGTATGGTGGCTGCTGCTGCTGCTGCAGAGAGTCACTTTTCTCCCTGGAATCACCTCATACCTCACTGTTCTTCACCTGAAGCTTGCAGAGAGATCATGGATACGTTAATGTTTCTGGCAGTTTGCTAGTACTTACCTATGCTTAGGTAAGTTTATCCAACACCTGTAAGACACCTCACAGAAACAGCTGGGGAAGTGCCTTAGATAGGCACTAGGAAAGGTAGGGCTAGGAAAGTATTGCTGAAAATTATTATATACTCATTTTGTTCGTAGATTCTTCCCTGGGCATCCATTATTGGTCATTCCTAGATTCAGCATATTACGTTAAATAGTGTGTGTGGGTATGTGTCACTTAATATATTGGCTCTTTCTGTTCTTGAAAGTTTTTTAAGAGAAGGAAAGGAGTTAAGGAGCCATATATAGAGATTTAATTTTACCTGAATGATGCACTAGGTTTGCACTTAAATTTTGTATACCTTACAATCCTTTCCTTTGAATCCAGGGCTTTCTTTTGCAAGAAACACTCCTCCCAGTTGTTTTCACTGTGATTATTAACTTTAAATGATACTCAGTTCCCTGGGAAGTCTGAAATTATTCTGAGCTAATTTCTGGGAGTTCAGGTGTGCTACATCTCTCACTAGACCATGCTATGACCTCTCCAACATCCTGCCAATTAGCTCTGCATCATGGAATCTGGCAGATGAAAGTCACTGTTTGGCTTGTCCATCTTTCTAGATAAAAAGATATAATTACCAGTGAGACATTGTGTTCAATGTGACTGGTTTGAGCTAAATATGTGATGCAATCAAGGGAGCTTCTGGCAACAAAAGCAGCTGCCAAAGACCTTTTTCTCAACACTTGATTTGATTTCCACTTTCCTTATGGTCCTTTGAAGATCATTAGTCCAGGCAACTGCTGCTCTGGGAAAGGAGGTTGTTCTGATAGACAGCTGCAGGGCCAAAGTATGTTTTTAAGGAGCCCTTTTCACTTTTCCTTAGTCAGTACTTGGGAGAAGAGTCTTCTCAGTTAGAGTAATCTCACCCTTAGCAAGGGAGGGTACTGCCATGCCTATTTTTGCCTGCTCAGCTAAGGGTTTGGTAACTTACACTTACAAACACTGTTCATAGTCTGATCCGATGGGGTTTTTTTCCTTTCACCTTAGGAAAACACTTAAGTGATGGGATTTTTTCCTTTCACCTTAGGAAAACACTTAAGATTCTCAGGCTAAAGTCTGCCTCTCAGTTTTCTTGTGCTCATGCTCTAATTGTAAATGAAGACCTTGGGTGTCAAATTCTCAAGTGCAGGATAATGAAAGTTTAGGTGAGCCAAGCCTTCTTTCTTCTCCTTTCCTTGTCTTATTTAAAAGATAAAAAGAGGGATGAACAAGTTAAGAACTTAAAACTATATTCCTTAGTTCTAGGATGTCAAATATAGAGATGCAAGTGTAAATCCTGGACCAGAGAAAATCCAGTGGCAAAAATCCCATCAATTTAAGCAGTCCAGCATTTTATCTACACTGTTTACCTGCACTATTGTTTTCCACAGGAAGTGCCTAAAGACAGAGGTTCAAGGTATTCAAAGATAGTCTACTCAGAACAGCTAGCAACTCGGAGAAGACTTAGCCGAAATCAGTGGAATTATAGATCTGTAAGATGAGTAGATGAGTGTAAAGTGAGATGAGTGTAGGTCATATGAATACAAATATATCTGCAGCATAAAAATATTGGATAATTTTCTCTCTGGATTACCAGATCTGCTACTCTTTTGATGTGAACTTCAGCTTGCAATTCAATAGACTTGATAATCCACAAAGTACTTTACATTCAGATGTCAGAATGGAGATAGAAGTATGTCATCACATTGTTTTCCTGGAAATTCAAAAAAATGTTTTGATGAATATATAAGCATAAAAAATAGAAAAAAAATTTGGATGATTAAGCTCTCCAAATACTGTGGAAGTATTTGGAAGTAAAGAAGATTTGTTCTAAAGTCAGATGAGCCTAGGAACATGCATTGTTACTTTCTTGAGATAATTTTCTAAGCTGATGTCACCCAACAGCTGATAAAGTACAAAAAAAACCCCAGACTGGTGTATTACTAAATAAGTTTTGTATATTTACTTAATGAAAAAGGTATTAGGTTATACCTGACAAAAAAACACACATGAAAACAGGGGCAAAGAACTATTACTTCTGTTGCTGACATTATACAACTAGTATATCAGATCTTCCATTTAGAGACGAACATAAAGAAAAATTTCCCTTATGTAATAATGTAATGCTATTTTTCCTTTACATGTAATAAAGTAATGTGGTGCTATAAAATGAGTTCTATGTATTTCTGTAGCTCAGTGTTCTAAATATCAGGAACAGACATACTCCATATTTAGAATATAATCATATACATGCAGTGTAGAAGTTATTACGAGCAACTCCAAGGAACGTCCTTGAAGAAGTTCTTCAACACCTAATATTACTTCTTGACACTGAGTTAATTTGAATGCGCGAGAAAAAGAAATAAAAAGGTAGGTCTCTTGCCCATCCCAAATTTTCTATCCCTGGAAAAGGCCATGCCATACTTGCAGCCCCAGTCCCAGGAGTTCAGAAGCCATTCTTGCTGCCTGAACTTGCGGTACAAGACACTTGAACAGGGAGTTTCCTGAGGTACAGGAAACTTAGACCATTTTCTGATCACCAGTATTATTTGATCTTGGACCAAAGTAGTCCCCAATATCCAATACTACAATCTAAAATCTGTATTATGAAATCTTCCTCCATAAAAAGCACGTGCAAAATATGTAACTGGAGAATTGACCTTTTTCCTCCCCCTTTCTCTCATGGAGATTCAGATCTTTCCCTCCTGTTTCTCCATTTTGTGTAGCATACGTACAACCATGGCTTCTTTCCCACTACTTATAATTGTAACTTGGACTGCAAGAATGTGTGATGAATTAAGCAGTTAGTGTGATATATAAATTTGCTCTGAGATTATCTGTATTTGTTAAGCATTTGCAAGAAGAGTTTCATGTATACTGCAAAGCCAGTGAAAAATCTTTAAGTGAAACAAGTCATACTGTTCATGTGATGATTTTGTAAGTATTCTTCATGCACACCAATGGCAGCCAGTTCCTTAGTGGAAAGCTGTTTTCCTTCAGCTATACTGCCCGTTTAGAGGACGACGAAAAGTTTGTTTTGCAAACACGTGAAAAAAACAAATAGAACAAAGAATTTTGGATAGTGAGATTATACCTTTTTTTTTTCTGGAAATTATTGCTGAACTCAGTTATCTTAATAAGGAACATTCTTCAGCTGTGCAAAATAAAACACTGAATCTCATGTCTTGAAAAAGTCTATGTTTTTTTAAGCTAAACTTTTGAAAAGAAAACATCTGAGGCAATAGATTTTATTTGGGGAATGCAATGGTCTGTGTTTTTTTCCTGTTAATGAATCACATGTATCAGAGTAAAAACATTTCACCTCAAATACAATTTCTCCTGATTTAAATTTTGTACTGAAGTGTAATCCTTTATATCTGATGCATGACACATTGAGCCAGGAATGTCTTTGATGTTACTAATTTGTTAATAATTTCTTTAAAAAAAACAGATATCATTTTGTTTGAAGTGTAATAGGCTATATATACACCTTCTCATTAACAGAACACTTGAACTTTCTATTTCTGCACTGCCATGTAAATGTGGTTTTCAAAAAAGTGGTAGTAAATGATTTGAGATCATAGAATCATAAAATCTTTGGGTTGGAAGGGATCTTTTAAGGTCATCTGGTCCAACACCCCTGCAATGAGCAGGGACACCTTCAACTAGATCAGGTTGCTCAGAGCCCCGTCCAACCTGACCTGAAATGTTTCCAGGGATGGGGCATCTACCACCTCTCTGGGCAACCTGTGCCAGTATTTCACCACCCTCATTGGGAAAAATTTCTTCCTTATATCTAGTTGAAATCTGCCTTCTTTTATTCATTTCAAAAATTATACTGTTGATAAAAAGGAACACAGTAATAACATTCTTACAGTTAAACAGAATTTTTAATA